GCTTTCTTTAACGAGCAAAAGGAGCTTAGGTTTAAGCTGAGACGGTGCAAATGGTATCCTCTCTTTGTTGAGCCAATCTTTTATTTCCTCTTTCCTGCTTGCACTTGTTGGAATGTTGTCCTCTTCTTCCACTACGTTGTGATATGACGCATTATCCATCATTAAGCAAGATGATTTGTCCAGTGCAGGTAAAAGAAAAAAATGTAATAATCCAATTTCGAAATATCATGTTGCCATTTATTTCCTTGTGATAATCCCTGTTCTCACTGGAATTTGACTTGAACATTAGTTCTGTGTTTTCAAGTAAACCCTTTTCACAGCTTCCACAGTGTGCGATTATCAGTCTCTTTCCTTTTCCAGCTGGAACTTGTCTTTTAATATAGATCTATCCATCTTTTGACTGCCATTCTTTTTGGAACACATGGTGAGGGTTTATAAAAGTTTCGTCTTAGAAGAAAACCGAATTGCTCGTCGGACAACCTCCCTATCGAAACCATCAGTCTTCTAAAGCCGCCCTCTTTTAGCCAGGAAAGTCTCCCCATCCATTTCCAGCTGCTTTATCTTTATCCATCTTGACAATGTGCTTCTGGTCCAACCTAAGGCATGCCGAGTTCTTTCTTTTGGATTCCCTCTATCATGGGACAAAGCTCCTCTCTTTGCCTCTCTGTAAAATGGGAGTAGAGCTGAAGCGTAACCTTTTGAAGAGTGGAGAAAGTGAAAGTGTGTTTGGATGACTTCTTGTCCCTCATAGTGCAAACAAATCGTGGACACAAAGCGAATTCAAGCACAAAACTTACAAAGGAACATCCAGTTATTGAAGTTATTTTGTGCTTTGAGTTGCTGGGATGAGAGAAAGGAAGTCATAAAAAACCTATTTAATGAAGAGTCTTGCTCCACGTGCGCTAATGTAGTTGAGTAAACAATCCCGCGATTTGAGCAGTGAGCAGCCGAGGTTACTGGTGAGTTTTCCCTCCGCTCCACGTGCCCACGTGCTGTGACGTCCGTTGGGCGGATTGCTCACACCTAAGGGCTGTGCAGCATGAGGAGATGAACATATCGGAAACTGTCGAATGTAAACAACTGATTGTACAAATTTTCCCACTGTTTGATCGGACGAAAGAGCTCGTCCACGGTCTGTACGACTTGTGGGAATTGTCTTTGAATGTCGGGATTGGGGTACTGTAACTAGCCTACAGTGTCAACGTTTATTTCTATGAGGTGTTCCAACATGAAAGAACCAGCTATAGCAGACTAGAAGAGGTGTTACAAGAGAGAAACTAACACAAAAGAAGGAGGGGAGATATTTGTTTGTTTGAGTATATAGAAGCACATCGATACAATAATGGTCATGTAGTGCTGGGGAAAATAAGACAGACAGACCGAAACAAAAGAGGGGAAAATGAAGAAGTAGGACCTACCTGTGGCGCCCTCCAACCACCCACCGAGGGGAGATAAAGACGATAGATGTTTGATAGGAAAGAAGAAGCAAACCACACCAGGACACCCGCCAACCACCCACAGAGTATACCGTACAGTTAGGCTGCAAACACACTGTCTTCACGTTCCCCACGTTTTCAACTCTCCGTTTTGGGGAGGGAAAGTTTGAGTTGATTACACAAACGTATTGACTTCACAGTCCGTTCTCCCTCGTGAGTTCATTACACAAACGTATTGACTTCACAGTCCGTTCTCCCTCGTGATTTAAAAAAAACAACAACAGTGAAACTTTAATTTTTAGTTTCCACACCAACTTCTTTAGCAATGTCTTCCCACTGCTTGTTGGCGTAATGTCTGAGTGAGGAATTGTCTTGTGATTTATCCAAAAGTGCAGGTCTCTTCTAACTTCTACACCGCTGCAATTAGTGCTTCTTCCATCTTGTCTGCTCCAGTTCTGAATCAAGTGTCTCAATCTACTAGATCTATACAGAGCCCACCACCCACGGCTCAAGTTCTGAACCAAGTGTCTCAATCTACTAGATCTATATAGTCATACAGAGCCCACCACCCACGGCTCAAGTTCTGAATCAAGTGTCTCAATCTACTAGATCTATATAGTCATACAGAGTCTACCACCCACGGCTCAAGTTCTGAATCAAGTGTCTCAATCTACTAGATCTATAGTCATACAGAGCCTACCACCCACGGCTCAAGTTCTGAATCAAGTGTCTCAATCTATAAGATCTATATAGTCATACAGAGCCTACCACCCACGGCTCAAGTTCTGAATCAAGTGTCTCAATCAGCGAGTTTACAACTATTTTTTAAATTGTCTCTATTGCGAAAATGGGCTTACTTAAAGGTTAAAATCTCGCGCACTTTCATGTAATTTTCATCACAGAATCCAAATCTGAAGTCAAACATACAATTTAATACAATTTGGATTAAAATGAATTTCAGCTTTCTACATCCTGACCGTGATTTTTTATAGAATTTCCACCCCCTAGACCGCAGAATGACGATTTGCAGAGAGCAATTTACACCTTGGGGCGGTGCCACTACTGCAGTGTCTTTTAGTTAGGCCGTTCCCAAAGGGGGGACATTTCTCGTTCTAATGCACAGTAGAATTGTAAATGGGCTGATCCAACAATGTCATGCTCATAACTCTGCCTGAACTACAACAGGGAACGGCTGCTTTTTCTTTCCAAATCCTTACTATCGTCATTTTCCTCTACTTCTTTTGTATGTTTGTCACTCTCTTGTGACCCGCTATTTCCGGGGTGCCTTGATAGTCGAAGCAGACTTTGTGCTGTTGAAGCTAGAGAGGTGAGCAGAGTAAGTCTGATTCCCTGTAAGGACTTCTCTGTTGACATCCACCCCTTGGCGCTCATATAACCTTATGCAGTAAAACCTCTACTAAAACAAAACAGAGAGCAATTTTCCAGCAGCGGGAAAATCCAAATGGTGAAGGGCGGGCCCGGATTCGGGAAAGAGTGGGGATTGTGATGTGAAGTCAGTGCCACCCCGGGTGTAGGTTAAACAAGGCTCCGTCACATCTGCAAGTTGGGTGTCGGTCACAGCGTGACAACGCGGGGAGCGTGAAGCCAGAGCGTTTACAGCTTAAAACTCCCAAAACATGAACCTCACGGGACCAGAGAACTTCTCCGTGTTGATGGACGTAGATTGAATGCACAGACTTGAGAGGGAAACAAACTGGGGATCATGCTTACAGTTACAGGGATTTCGTGATGACGACGTCTACTCTTGCATGGCAAATACAAGTAAATAAAATAGGAAAATATCGCACAGAGTGAAAGGAGTTTTGTTTTTAGTTTGAGTTCAGAGAGAGAGAGAGAGAGAGAGAGAGAGAGAGAGAGAGAGAGTGACAGAAAGTGACAGAGAGAGAGAGAGAGAGAGAGAGAGAGAAAGAGAGAGTGACAGAGAGAAAGAGAGAGAGAAAGAGAAAGAGAGAGAGAAAGAGAGAAAGAGAGAGAGAGAGAAAGAGAGAGAGAGAGAGAGAAAGAGAGAGTGACAGAGGGAGTGACAGAGAGAGAGAGAGAGAGAGAGAGAGAGAGAGAGAGAGAGAGAGAGAGAGAGAGAGAGAGAGAGAGAGAGAGAGAGAAAGAGAGAGAAAGAGCAAACAAACTGCAACAGACAGACACAGCAGAAGTAGAGCCTCTCCAAACACAACACACAACATGACTGCAATAGACAACACCCTGTGTGTGAAATAGCTAGCGAGAGTTTATTATTCCTTGACACCTTCACTGTGGTCATAACAAGAACATGCGGTCAAAAATGTCACAACAAGAAATAAAAACTCCTCAGATATCTTCACACACACTCCAACTCTCCACACAAGACAAGCCACACACACCCCACACACAGCCACTCACACCCCACACACACATACGCGGTCTCTCACATCACAGCTTTACCTAAAGTCAATTTCCCAATCTTCCAGCCATACAAAATACTTTCACATTCCTCCAACGGGCTGATGTATCAATGTCAAGCTCATCCTGTGCCGGAACAACCTAGGGGGGAACTGCTGCTTGTTCTTTCCTCATCTTTTACTGTCCTCATTTTCCCTCACCACGAGAGCACCAACGACCATAATCAAACAGATCCTCACTTAAATTTCCAGGACACAAACAAACACTCCGAACAATCTCTTTTCTCACTCCAAAAAGACGAGTCATAAAAAATTTCTTTAAAAAATGTTCCAAAAATGAGTAAAAAACCCCAAAACTTTTGGAGCAATCTTCCACCAAACATTCCATGACCTTAAGGCCAATTCCACAAACTGACCACATTAAAGCATAATTAAGTATCATAACCACACGGAGAATATTCTGTCATGAAAGACTGAAGGACGAAAATGCCCCATACCTCACATCACACATACAGATACAGATGCATGTACACGCAGAAACTCCCATAGTATAGACGTGCCACACGACACTCCATAGACGTGCCACACGACACTCCATAGACGTGCCACACGACACACTCACAACCACACTTCATCCTGCTAACAAACACAATCCTCCACCTACGACTTTCTGTCCTCTTTGGCGTTGCCCCACCCACACTTCACTCTCCTACCAGATACTTCACTCTCCTACCAGATACTTCACTCTCCTACCAGATACTTCACTCTCCTACCAGATACTTCACTCTCCTACCAGATACTTCACTCTCCTACCAGATACTTTACCCTCCCATCAGACAGCCTACCACGTTGTCCCCTTTGGCGTTGCCCCACCCACACTTCACTCTCCTACCAGATACTTTACCCTCCCATCAGACAGCCTACCACGTTGTCCCCTTTGGCGTTGCCCCACCCACACTTCACTCTCCTACCAGATACTTTACCCTCCCATCAGACAGCCTACCACGTTGTCCTCTTTGGCGTTGCCCCACCCACACTTCACTCTCCTACCAGATACTTTACCCTCCCATCAGACAGCCTACCACGTTGTCCCCTTTGGCTTGGTAAGGCAAACACTGCTACAGGCCACACCCCACCCCCCGGGCTCCCCTCACACCCCACCCCCCGGGCTCCCCTCACACCCCACTCACACGGAGCACGACGCACAAGTTTGTGTATCATGTGTGCTCCGACTTTGGACATCTTGACATTGTTTGTAACCCAGCACTACGCCATCTCAGCGCTTTCTTGTCGTATCTCCAATTTTTAAAAAAAGTGAAGATGTCACATCTTCTTAAGCTCACTCTTTGTTGTGAACTGTTTTCACCTTATTAAAAACTGAGATAGGACAAGAAAGCACTGGGGTCACGACTAAACAAATCACCCACTACTGTCATGATCATTTCAAGTTTCCCTTTCCCCAGAGGGTCATCTATTAAATAAATGCACTTCTTCCCTCGCGGAGACCCAAGGTTGGAGCTCTGGCCTTCTCTAGCCGGCAGATGTTTCCACGTGACCTTGAACTACAACCAGCAGAGAAGGGAGTACCGGTACCTCCCACTGCACCTTTCTCCCAAAGTCACCGACACTTCAGCCTGAGAAAATGTCAACTAAGCCTCGACGACATCATACAAGATTATGTACAATCTCACGACACCAGAGAGGGCTACGTGTCCTCCAGCAACATCCTGTCTTCCTTCAACACCATCTCTCGACTTCGCTTCAGCATGGCACGCACTTTGCTCATCAGGTCCTAGAGAAAAAAAAATCAATTTCAAAAAAAGTTTTAGTAAGAGTTTTACAGCACTTGCAACACAATAAGGTTATATAAGTGCCGAAGAATAGATGTGTTACAAGAGAGTAATAAACACAAAAAAGAAGGAGGGGAGATCAGGACAATAGATGTTTGAGAGGAAAGAAGGAGCAAACCACACCAGAGCACCCGCCAACTACCCACAAAATCAGATTTTCCAAGAACAGGCCGATCTATGCAGTTTTCCATACAAAGACAATCTGTATTGCACGAGAGAACAGAATTAAAATCTTCTCCAAAGTCGTGTTCGTTAAAGTAGTAGAAAACTACTCCCCAAAGCTAGACTAGGATTTAATTTTCCCTCCCGTTTCACAAATGATTACACAGAAGATTTTGTTTCAAAAGAAATTCCCCTTTTCCACAAAGAAATTCAACACGTTGCGGTCACATCTCGCTGATCGGCGATGTTTACCACACAGTCTCAATGGATTTTCCCAAAAATGCCTTTGCCTTTGATGGCAAGAGTTTTTACTACAGTAGTCTCCGCCTAAGATCCCACCGCTTACGATCCCGGTTCGCTTAAGATCCCGCTGTTTTAAGAAAACAGAATTTTTACTATACAAAAGTCACCCCTAAGATCCCGCTCTGATTCACTCTGAAGGTCTACATTCGGCTAAGATCCCGCATTTCAGATCATAATTTGCGGAAAAAACCGCGGGCGGGACAGCCGATCAACCAAGAGTGAAAATTTGAGATCAATAAACTGTCCGTTGCGTCAAAGATCAACCACTATCGTGAATGTGATCACGTACACGTTGTAAAACTCGATGAAGCGATACAATGTTTGCCCCTGACGGGATCACACCGGGGTGTGAACTGACCGACGCGTTTGTTTTCCCCGAACATCGCACTCACACCTGAGCTATCCCCCTAAACTTACATCACTCGCTGGGTGGGTAGGGCCTACACGTTCGCTCCTGGCGGGATCACATTGAACTGTGAACTCTTCCCTGACCATTGGAGAAGTTGTTTCAGATTCTACTCCCGAATTTGCGAGACAGACTGAATTTTAATTAGTGCGTTCACAACGTAATGGTGTGTAACGACAAAGGCGGTTAAGGGAGATGGAAAGCTATACATTTTCGACAGGTAAGGGGGAGGAGAGGGGCAACTTGATAAGCGTAGATCTTGAGCCTCATGATAGGATAATAAGTGAAAATGGCACGCCTCATCCCACTATACCCTGTGATAGATCATCAAGGTTAACCACTCTTTGCTCGCCATACGTCATAAACCCACCAAGCGGTCACGTCAGTTCATTTTAGAGTGGAGGGAGACCATTTTACCGATTGTAAGCCTTAACATGAGTCACCATAGATTCTTCCCTGGGTTCGTCGGTTAAGATCCCGGTTCGCCTAAGATCCCGCTTTTTCTTGCTCCCGAGCACCGGGATCTTAGGCGGAGACTACTGTATAAGAGCCTTGTGATGGCACAGTGTTACTCTGACAGACAGACAGACAGACAGACAGGAGAAACTTACCGTGGAGGATGCGGCGCTGCTTGTCCCCTCTCCGACGGAACGGCTGGCCGTGCTGCCCCGTGTGTCGCTGTGTGGGGCTGGAGAGTTACACTGACTAGTGGACGAGTTGGTCAGCCGGTCATCCGCCCTTTCACTGAGGGGGGAGTCACACACAGAGAGGGTCAAGGTAACACAGTCAGTAGAGTTTCAGTAAGCGCTTTACGGCACTTGCAACACAATAAGGTCATATGAGTGCCGAAGATTAGAGGTGTTATAAGAGAGTAACAAACACAAAATAGAAGGAGGGGAGATAAGGGCGAAAGATGTTTGATAGGAAAGAAGACACACACACAGGGTCAGTTGTCAGAACAAGCAGACACATCCTTTAGGCAATGTAGAAAAGTTCACCACATTGTTTACCAAATTGTAAAAAAATGTAAGAACAAACAAACAGAGATAAGGAAAGACAGAAGCACGATAATACTGGCAGACAAAGGGCTCCGACTCCATGGGAGAGGCAAAAGTACAACAGTATAGTCCCGCTACAGCTTTATCTACCATCACTGGACAACAGAAAGAAACCAGAATCGAAACATTAAAACTTTCCAGACAGTGGTGCGTAGTCCATAGGCTGACCTTGACCAGCGGGGTCAAGGTGACTTGTCTCTTAAATAACCTAAGTATTGTCAAAGGGGGCATGAAACAGTTGCAGTCATTAACTATATCGCGACCTCAGTGCTTTCTTGTCGCGTCTCTATTTTTAATAACAGTGAAAACAGTTCAGAACAAAGAGTGAGCTCAAGAAGAAGTCACAATTTTCACTGTTGAAAAAATAAAAATGGAGTTACACCAAGAAAGCACTGAAGTCACAATATGACACCCCCCCCCCCCCCCACTCAAAGATTTGAGACACCAACCTGTGAAGCAGAGATTTGGAATGACGACCGCTGGGAACTGGGATGTCACTTAGATCTGTGACCGACGGGAAGGCGTGATTACTGTTCTCCGCGACAGACGGGAAGGCGGGGTAACTGCCGTCTGCGACAGACGAGAAGGCAGGGTAACTGCCGTCTGCGACAGACGAGAAGGCAGGGTTGCCACCCTCCGCAACGGAAGGAAAGGCGGAGTTGCTGCTCTCCGTGACAGACGGGAAGGCGGGGTTACTGTTGTCTGTGTCCACACTGATGGCCCGCGGGGGAGCGGGGGGCGTGGGCTCCACAATCTCCACGTCGCTACCGTCACTGGTGGTCTCCGCGTGGCCTCTCCCATTGGTCTTTGGGGCAGCGGGTTTCTCCGACTCCTTCTCTCGACTCCGACGGTGAGATTTTTCTTTCTTCTTCTTTTCCTTGTCTTTGTCCTTGGATTTGTGCTTAGAGTGGCGAGATTTGTCCTTGGATTTCCTCACTGGTGACCTGGGAGGGAGAAGAAAACAGTCCCCAATGCAATACCATGACAGGAAATCAAACATTTTGTCAAACGAGAAAAGACGTACAGTAGAAAAAGTGTTACAGACATAGCAGCTTCATCTGAATAAATGTGATCATTGAAGAGCTGGCCGTCTTGCCCCTGTCTGTTGGTTTTATTTTAGTAAGAGTTTTACGGCACTTGTAACACAATAAGGTCATAAGGGCCGCAGATTAGAGGTGTTACAAGATTTTTTTAGCAGAGGTTTTACGGCGATCACAAATACATAAGGTCATATGAGCGCCAGAAGATTAGAGGTGTTACAAGACAGTAACAAACACAAAAAAGGAGTGGAGATGCAGTCGATAGATGTTTGATAGGAAAGAAGGAGCAAACCACACCAGAGCACCCGCCAACCACCCACTCGTCACACATCACAGGCGGACACTGGCTCGAGATCTCACCTGGACTTTGACCTCTTGTGCTTCTTCTTCTTCTCCTCCTTCCTGGGCGACCTTGAGCGCGACCTCTTGCCCAGGTCTCGGTTCCTCCCTCTCTGCCAGGTAGGCGCTCGGTCGTGCGAGGCTGACCACTGGCTGCCCTGACCGCTCCACCGCGGGGGGCTGGGTCTGTGCGGGGACCTGAGGAGACATCTCCATCAATCAACAAGTGAGTCACAACATGGTGGAATCAGGTGCTCATCAAAATAATGAAATAGCAGAAAACGGCATTTTTCTGCCGGTTACACAATTTGTAAACTTTTTTTGGCTCAACATCTTTGTTGTCCATTTAACAACAAATGTCTGTTAGGATTATCTCCAAAACCATGGATTCTGTAAGGGATATATCCAAAACCATGGATTCTGTAAGGGATATATCCAAAACCATGGTTTCTGTAAGGGATATATCCAAAACCACGGATTTCAGGAACAAAAATTGTAAATTTTCATTTCCAAAGGACTGTGAAGCCGTAGATTGATACTTTCAATAGCACCAAAAAAAAAAAAAAAAAAAAAAAAAAAAAAAAAACCTAGAACATCCCGTACATTTTGAGAACTTCTAAAACGTATCACAAAGCACAACTTCCCTCCTCGCCTCCCTACCTCACCTTCTTGTTTTAGTTTTAGTAAGAGTTTTACGGCACTTGCAGAATAGATGTGTTACAAGAGAGTAACAAACACTAAAAAGAAGGAGGAGAGATAAAGATGATAGATGTTTGATATGAAAACAGCAAACCACACCAGAGCACCCGCCAACTGCCCGTTAGAGATACAATGTCCATTGATTCTTTGAATAGCACAACAACAACAACAACAAAAAACCACACCAGAGCACCCGCCAACCACCTCACCTTCTATCCAGGCTGTAAGCGCTAGGGGGCGTTGGTGAGCGTCGTCTTCGCTTCCGCTCGCGTGGTGACCTTGACCTCTCCGAGCGACTGCTGTCCACTTTCTGGGGCAGCGGCTGGTTGTTGTACTCAAACACCACGGGGGCCGGGCCGCCTTCACCTGACAGACAGACAGACACCACACAGTTTGTTAGGTTTTACGGCGCTCACAACTGCATAAGGTCATATGGGTGCCAAGGGATGGATGTCAACAGGGAAGTCCTTACAGGGAATCAGACTTACTCTGCTCACCTCTCTAGCTTCAACAGCACAAAGTCTGCTTCGACTATCAAGGCACCCCGGAAATAGCGGGTCACAAGAGAGTGACAAACATACAAGAGAAGTAGAGGATAAAATGCCGATAGTAAGGATAAGGAAAGAAAAAGCAGCAGTTTCCTGTTGTAGATCAGGCACAGTTATGAGCATGACATTGTTGGACCAGCCCATTTACAATTCTACTGTGCATTAGAACGAGAAATGTCCCCCCCCTTTGGGAATGGCCTAAAGACACTTCAGTCAGTGGCACCGCCCCGGGGGGTGGGGGGGGCGCCAAATGTTCCCTCCAGCCCTCATTTACCCTATGTGAAAAGAAGCATGTCGGCTCACCCACATACAGAGCCTCCTGTCTAAGAACATCCACTCACCCACATACAGAGCCTCCTGTCTAAGAACATCCACTCACCCACATACAGAGCCTCCTGCTCTTCCGTTGACCCTGCGGGGGCGGCTGACTCTGCTGGCTGATTGGCTCGGAGGAGGTTGAGAAACATGGCCGCCTTCTTCTTCCTCTCGGCCTGCAGCTGTTTCTCCCGGTGGCTCTGGGACAGGCGCTCCTTCATGGCACTTGCCAGCTTGTCCTTCAGCTTCTCCTCCACTGGGGGGGAAATACAGGGGGGGGGGGGGGAGAGGAGGGGGGACTTCCAGTTGAGTGTCAAAGGACAAGGAAAGTTTTGTTCGTTTTAGTAAGGTTTTACGGCGCTCCAACACAATAAGGTCATATGAGTGCCGTAGATTAGAAGTGCTACAAGAGAGAAACAAACACATAATGGAAGGAGGGGAGATAAGAACAACAGATGTTGGATAGGAAAGCAACCGAACAAGGGGCAAAAACTTTACCTTTTTCTCAAAACAGCACTTTTTCAGAATAGCCCCCTTGTGCTTAAAAGCGAACAATAAACTGCAGGGAAGTTATAGCCAAAGACTTTAACACCGCTGACAGAAGAAATGTTAAGATAGCCACGCCCAGCAAGCTGTACCAAAGATGGTACATAACAAGTTCACTCCTCTCTTTGAGCCAAGTAAAAAAAGTGTCCTCAAAATCCGATGGCGCCCTCTTCGAAAAAGTGTGGACTTTGCGAACAGAGTTACTCTATTTGTGTGAAAAACAAAAAAGCTAAACTAACAAACTGTGCTATTCCTATTCTTCTTCTGAAGAAACGAAAGAGAGTTTCAAAACAAAGACTGCAGCGCCATCTAAACCAATGCGCGGACTTTCGCAAACACTTTTTTGGCTGAGTGAACTATCTCGTTATGTATGATCTTTGACTGAGTGAACTATCTGGTTATGTATGATCTTTGGCTGAGTGAACTATCTCTTTATGTATGATCTTTGACTGAGTGAACTATCAGGTAATGTATGATCTTTGACTGAGTGAACTATCAGGTTATGTATGATCTGTGGCTGAGTGAACTATCAGGTTATGTATGATCTTTGACTGAGTGAACTATCTGGTTATGTATGATCTTTGGCTGAGTGAACTATCTGGTTATGTATGATCTTTGGCTGAGTGAACTATCTCGCTATGTATGATCTTTCATTGCACTCACTCTCTTTGTTGGAGTCCTCGTCTCCCGACACACTGGCGGACACACTGACGGGCGGCGTGGCTGCGCGCGACGAGGCCTCTGACCGTGTCTCCGTCTGCTGCTGCTTCCCTTCCTCTGAAACAACAACCAACGAATGTCGCTTGTGAGTCTTTAAAAAGTTTTAGTAAGAGTTTAACGGCACTTGCAACACAATAAGGTCATATAAATGCCGAAGATTTTTAGATTTAGTTTTAGTAGAGGTTTTACGGCGCTTACAACTGCATAAGGTCATATGAGCGCAAAGGGGTGGATGTCAACAGAGAAGTCCTTACAGGAGATTAGAGGTGTTACAAGAGAGTAACAAACAAAAATTAGGAGGAGAGATCTGGACGATAGACGTTTGATAGGAAAGAAGAAGCAAACAACACGAGAGCACCCGCCTACTACCCACTAGCCCAGGATAGAGAAAGATTGAAAGTTTTTGTCCGTGGCCTATACCCTGGTGCAGGGTGAGAAAGACGACGAATATTTCATGAGAGAGCCAGCTACCCGACAACACAGTCAATCTCACCGTCGCTGCTGTCGTACTGGAACAGCGTGGTCTTGGACTTGGCGGCCTTGACCTTGGAACTGCCGCTGTTCTCCTGCTCCCTGGAGCGTGCGCGGATGGAGAAGCTGACGCTGCGCTGCTGGCTGGCCGGGGAGTCGGACTTGTCGTCTCCCTTGTCCTCCGGCTCAGGCTGGGGGAGCAGACTCTTGAACTCCTGCATGAAGTAGACACACAGACATTGTTATTCGTTTTCCGAAGAGTTTTACAGCACTTGCAACACAATAAGGTTATATAAGTGCAGAGGATTAGAGGTGTTACAAGAAAGTAACAAACACAAAAAAAGAAGGAGAGATCAGGACGTTTTTCTTTAGTAAGTGTTTTATGGCGCTCACAAGTGCATAAGGTTAAATGAGCGTGCGGGACACATTAAACAGTTTCAGTTGGTACGAAATTTTGAATTTTGCTTGGGTGGTGGCCGAAGCCTACTCTTATCAATTTTAGACCACCAAGGGATCTTTAACGTTCGCAACTTGCACACGGGACCTCCAAATTTTTTTGCCCTTGTCCGAGAAGGCTAGGTGTAGATCTTTCCAACTAGAAGATCAGGGTGTGGCTAAAAAACCACAGTAAGAAGGAGCAAAGGAGTAGCAGTAGAAAGGCTGCAGAAAGAGTCCGGAGCCCAGAAGAGGGGGAATTGAATGAGAGGCGTACACCTTAACTTCTAGGCCCTGAGAGCCCCCTCATAGTCCCTCTACATGACTGTTTCGTTTTACACACTCAAGGAGACAAAAAATTATGGAAGCTGGCTGCCCCAACCCTGCCCTAGCAGAAAGACGGAGAAACTAGATGAAATCTCCGCCCCACGTGGGAATCAAACGAAAGTTCCTTGACTTCGAGCATATCCACGTATCATGCGGTCAAAAATTTGTGGTGCAACTTATCCTCAAATATCTGTTTAACAGGAGAATCAATGTCACCCATACTTTGCATATCAGTTGTATCAATTTGTCTTAACTTAATCACATTTTTCCACAACAATTGAGGCCCAATTAAAAAACTTTTCTTCATAAATTTATATAAAATACTATTTATCTCCATCACACGGAAAATATGATTGTTCACAGCACTTCCCGCCTCTCGCACACATTTTGCATACGCATATGGCCTACGTCACAGCTCACCAATGACACTTTTTAATGGCAAAACATCTTACAAGAAATTAATTTTAAAGTGAACACATTTTTTGCACTAAATGTTCCCTAAACATATGTTCAATAAGCATACATTTGCGAATAGAAAAAAATGACAGACTTGCTCTTGAAAGCGATATTGCCCGAGATTTAAAAGCTGTAGAAACCACTGAATTTTAGTTTTTATTAATGAATTTTCTAGAATACAGCATGCGGGAGTTTGAGAAAATATTAATCTGTTAAGACAAACTGATATGAGTCATTGTGCAAAAGTAGGAGAATTCTATGCTCCATAGTTAAGGAGATATTTGACAATAAGTTGCGCCATGCATTTTTGACCGCTCTATAGTAAACAAGACAGAAAGAGGCAGTACTTACCCGTAAATAGCTCTCCTTCATGACCCCCCCGTACACGAGACAGAAAGAGAGGCGGCAGTTACCCGTAAATAGCCCCCCCCCGTACACGAGACAGAAAAAGGCAGCACTTACCCGTAAATAGCTTTCCTTCATGATGCTGTAGTAGGGGAAGTAAGCGTGATACTCATTCAGGAACTGGAAGCGCAGGTCTTTGCGGCTCTTCACAACCATCTCAAACTCCTCCCCATTCTTTGCCACGTACATGGCCATGTGGTCGATGATTGGCTGCACGTCGGGAGGGGGCGGGGCTATTGGATTAGGTCCTTCCGGTCGCAGAACAGCTTGCTTTTCCTTCGCTTTTGGTGATTTTCTGAAGAAATAAAAACAAAAAACATTTCGCATGTGATTTAAACAGTGAATTTTTTCCTGTCTTCTTTGACAAGTCTTAGCTCATCTTTACATTTTGAGATTCGGTCCACATCTTGTACAAGGTCCAAAACAAAGCATACCTTGAGCCACCGGCACTGGGCAACCTCATGTGACTTTCTGCTCCAATGATTAACTCTTTACAGCACAATCATTTTCTCAATGACTAGAGAATTTCCAGTAAATGAGTGTTCCTGTAGCAACAATATTATGTACAGTGCAGCCTCTCTATAACAACATCGTCGGGACCAGAAAAAAATGTCGTTATAGACAGTTGTCATAACAGAGAGGCAACCAAAAATATTACTAACGATACATAAGGGAAAAATGGGGACCTGGGCACCATGTCACTTTACAGAGGATGTCGTTATATCGCAGATCGTTATAGAGAGGACGCACTGTATACATACAAAAGAAGGAAAACTTGTGCACCAGCTCACCTGCGATCTCTCCTCCTCCTGTGGGAGCGCGAGTCTCGACTCCGCGATGACGAAGATGAAGACGACGACGAAGAAGAGCTATCCGAGCTGGACGACCTCCGCTTCCTGTCCTTCCTCCGCGGCGGGGTCTCCACCGATGGGTCGCCAGCTGCGCTGGGCTCTGTGCCTGGCGGGAGAGGCTGGCCGTACAGCTGTTCCACCAACTCCTGCCCGTTGAGAGAGCGTACGATGGGGAGGGAGACGGGTTCGGTGCCGGGGGGAGGGGGGTTGCCCGGGTGGTATGAGGTCTGGGGCTCTGGGTAGGAGGAGGCGGCCGGTGGCACCACCTCGGAGGGAGGGGGCGGGGTAACGGCCGGTGCTGTGGAGGCTTTGGCTCTGGGGAAGGAGGGAACGACAGAAGGACGTGAGAGAGAACGGCAGGAAAATAGCATCGACTGCATAGGGGGAAGGAGGGAGGGAGAATCATCATAACAAATGAAAATTTGTGTCGAAAGGGGTTGTGATCGGTCCTTAAAAATGCTGTCCATTTTTTAATACTTGTGATTTTATACAGTTCATTAGTTGTACCAAAAGCATATCCAGAGATCTTGCTGGCTTTCATTCTGATTCGGTCACAAGCCAATTCTATTTAGCTGTCAGCTGTCTTTCACATTGATCTGTCTACAGGGGGGAGAAAAACACCCACTAGGCACAATAGCCCATGCTTTGTCTCAGACACAAACTGTGTGGGTCTTACAAAACCAGCCCCCCCCCCCCCCCCCCCCCACCATGGGCAATACATCCACGAAGACTAGGAACTAATACATCCGTCTGTTCCTTTAGTATCTCCAACACGACACATGCTACTTGCTCAAGAGTTTATTCTGAACTGCACTGCCGTAGTTCGCGAGTGATTCGTGAAAAACACATCGTAATGGTCACGTGATACACACAGATATAACGGACATAATTCGAATAATACAACGATCACAACCACACGGTTACTCTCTCTAACCTCTCTTAAAAAAACATCTGTCTGTTCCCCAGCCCAATCAACAAAAGCATGACAGACATACGGCCAACGCACACTTCCGTTTCTTTCTCTGTACAGGTATTATTTTAGTGCAGACGAGGAGGAGGCTTCTAAAATTGATCTAAGTTGGAAAGGACAGACAGAAAAAACTAAAAATATCATGAAATTGTGGCAAAAGAGAACCCCTTCACTCTATGTAGGTAACGACTGACAAAACTTACGGCTCTGAGTTACCCCGAATCGACTTGATCAAAGCGCCGTACGGCGTGTCGTGGATGGAGACTTTGGGCAGCTCAATCGGCTTCCACGGCTGAAAGGACAAAGGGAGGAACTAAATGTTACTTTACAAGACACATAACATCTTTTTCTTACAATCAATTCAAACTTTGTTTTACTAAGTGTTTTACGGCACTTGCAACACAATAAGGTCATATAAGTGCCGAAGACTAGAGGTGTTACAAGAAAGTAACAAAAATAAAAAAGAAGGAGGGGAGATAAGGATGATAGATGTTCGGTAGGAAAGAAGTAGTAAACCACACCAGAGCACCCGCCAACTACCCACCATCCCATCTTTTTCACACTTCACTTTAATGGGAACACTGAGATATTGTTGAGGCACATCTTTATTGGATTCACCACCAAAATAAACAAATCAAACAGATAGACCAACAGCAGAAAGTTACTACTCCACAGTTAAATACTTCCGTACGCCAACATTTAAAATTAGGCGGAGTAGAACAAGAAGACCTTTCAAGCGAATCATTCCTCTCAGTTTTACACAATTCTTTTGTTTGCTACAGTAAGGTTTTACGGCGCTCCCAACTGCATAAGGTCATATGAGCGCCACGGGGTGGATGTCAACAGAGAAGTCCAAACGGGGAGTCAGACTTACTCTGCTCACCTCTCTAGCCTCAACAGCACAAAGTCTGCTTCGATTATCAAGGCACCCCGGAAATAGCAGTTCACAAAAGAGTGACAAACATACAAAAGAAGTAGAGGAATATGACAATAGTAAGGAAGAGCAAAGAAAAAATAGAAAATAAAATTAGATCACATGAGAACAGAATAGCGTGCTGTTGAGGCTAGAGAGGTGAGCAGAGTAAGCCTGATTCCCGGTAAGGACTTTTCTGTCGATATACACCCCTTGGCACTCATATAACCTTGTGCAGTTGCCAGCTCCGAAAAAACTCTACTAAAACTTAACTAAAAACTAGCAGCAAGAAGGGAAAAAAACACACGTCAGATCCCAGGAGAACAGGAAGGGAGCCACAAGTTTCCCTGTACTCACCGGTGGTGGAGGGGGCGGCAGCTGCGTGGTGGATGACAGAGATGGATGCAGGTAGCCGTGACCCTCGTGCTCATCCTCTGAAACACGACAAAACATATCCGATAAACATGTCGTTTGCCCACAGAAAAACATATCGAATAATCATGAGGTGATATGCTCACAATAAAACATATCCAGTAAACACGAGAGAGCCATACACACACACACAAACAGACACACCCTGCTTCTCCTGCTCCTGGTGTGGCCTGTGAGAGACAGACAGATACTAGAGTAAGAGAGCCACACACACACACCAACACACAGACGGACAGACGCACCCTGCTTCTCCTCCTCCTCCTGACACACACACACACACACACAGACAGACAGACAGACTCACCCTGCTCCTCCTCCTCCTCCTCCTGACACACACACAGACAGACAGACAGACAGACAGACTCACCCTGCTTCTCCTCCTCCTCCTCCTCCTGACACACACACACACAGACACAGACAGACAGACAGACAGACAGACAGACAGACAGACAGACAGACTCACCCTGCTTCTCCTCCTCCTCCTCCTGATGCGGTCTGTACTTCCCCGACTTGATCATGGCCACCATGTGCTTGTAGTACGGGTTCAGCGCCTTCTCAAACGACAGGAAGTCAAACTGGCTGTTGCCGGCCTGCTTCGTCTTCAGCATGATCTCCATCTGAATGCCTTGTCTCGCGATGAAAGTCGCCGTCTTCTCGATCCGCGCATTTTCTTTTTTACAACATGGCTGCAACATAAGGAAGATTGTTGCTGAGCGGTATAATTAAGCGAGTAAAATCACACATCTAATTAACAGAAGACTGACGGTAATGATTATAAACACGCTACTCCCCCATCGCCCCAATTTCCCACTCATGAGGAGAGTTACTTCAACCCTGCCTGTCAAGACCACCCCAGGGTTCAGTGAGATACAACATTCTTGCACACAAACCGAAATACTCCACAGAACAAACTGGCAAATATAGGACATCTATTAGAGACCACATCTGGATTGATAACAACATTACAGACCACATTAAGGTCCACAGGATTAATCTGTGTAAGCGATGTGAACATACCACTGTCATTTCTGGAGGGACGCACAACTCTTTGGGGACGACAAAAGGCTCATCCTCCTCCTTGGTAGCAGCTGGGGAGGAAAAAACACACACTGGAGTTGTTTTAGTGTTGGTAGAGGTTTTACGGTGCTCGCAACTGCATGAGGTCATAGGAGCGCCAAGGGGTGGATGTCAACAGTCAAGTCTTTACAGGGAATCAGACTTACTCTGCTCACTTCTCTAGCCTCGACAGCACAAAGTCTGCTTCGACTATCAGGGCACCCGGAAATAGCGGGTCACAAGAGTGTGACAAACATACAAAAGAAGAAGAGGAAAATGTCAACAGTAAGGGTAAGGAAAGAAAAAGCAGAAGTTTCCCTTTGCAGTTCAGGCACAGTATGAGCGCGACATTGATGAATCAGCCCATTCACAATTCTACTGTGCATAAGAACATGTATGTTAATATCCCCCTTTTGAGAAGGGCCTGAAGACACTCCAGTCAGTAGCACCGCCTGGGGGGGGGGGGGGGTAGGAAAGTCGTTTATCCTTGAGGGAACAATAGCTTCCCCACAAGGGAATCAAATTAATGTTTCAAGCAGGTGAAGCAAAAGCGCACACATTACATCACAGACGACACAGGCGAGAATATTGTCACAAATATACGACTGACACTAGATTGAGTAAACATTCGAATTGTCACATTGTTTGAAGAAGCCACAATATGACTCACTTTTCCTACCGTAAACATAATGAACAACATACTGAACAACATATCGATAAATGACCTCTTGAGTACTATTTCACCATTCCACAGTGCATAACCCCAATCCATGGTAAGGCCTTTGCAACCACTGAACTGCCAGAGAAATTATCGACATAAAACATTCCTAGACGACTCTCACCAACCGAGCAGGGAACACATCCTCTTCACAAAATTACCAGGTACTTAAAAGGCCCTTCTGACATATCAGGAAAATGTAGTCCAAACAGGCTACTGGATGATCTATGACAATAATAGAATATATACAGCTGTCTAAATATAAAAATGTATTCTTCTCATCCATTCATTAAAACAAAAATTAAACAAAACTCAAACCATCAGACCATCCTTCACGTAATAAACTTCCTGTACTGAGTGTATTTCCCGTGAATAACTAAGGCACCGGGCAACTGAGAAGTCCTCCTACCTTTCAGGGTAGCGTCGTCCTGAGCTTCGTACCCGTACGGCTGCTCGTAGCTGAATCCCACAGCCTGGTAGCCTTCTTGTAGAGACAGGTAGTAACGTTTCCACTCTTCCTCTGAAAACACACAAAGTTCAACATTTTACAGAGTCATTGAGCACAACAGATGATAGTTGATACAACAATACTTGTCATTATCGCCATAAAACTTTTGAAGTGTAATTCATGAATCTTAGTATTTAGTTTTAGTAAGAGATTTATGGCTCAGCAACACAATAAGGTCACAATAGTGCCGAAGATTAGAGGCGTTACAAGACAGTAACAAACACAAAAAAGAAGGAGGAGAGATAAGGACAATAGATGTTTGATAGGAAAGAAGGAGCAAACCACACCAGAGCACCCGCCAACCACCCACATTCATGAATCTGCTAAAAGAAAGCAGTAGTGATATAGGAAAACTTTTGCACAAAATATATCCGTGCTACATGCATATATATTTACAACATACTTCTGAGTTCAAGAGCATTGTAAGAAGGGCAAGTAAAGAGACACTTCTCTTTTGTTGTGAACCCAATGTTTCGAATGGAAACATGGCAACGAATCATCATATATCAAAATATTCTTTTATAAAATTAACATCACTATCAAATTTGATTTCGTATTGTCTTGTTTAAGAAGTACATAAACGGTAATGTAAAAGTTTTATTCAACAACCTGTAGCGAGTCAATCACCCTTCAAAACGAGGAAAAGCATTTTCTAAATTGACCAAACTTCCACTGACCTTCATACATGGCTGCCTCCTGTACATCGGTGTTGAGCTCCAGATAGCGCTCCTCCTCGCACGCCTTCTCGATGGCTTCCTCCTCCTCCGAGAGCTGGACGGTCCTGTCCACACTGTCGGCGTCATGGGAGGCCAGGTCGTACAGGTGGCCCCGCCCGTCATATCTGTGGCAGTAAAGCGCACAACAGTGAAGCCCTGGTACACAGAGGGACTAACTTCATCGGAGATGAGAGCACAAAAATGACAGAGGGACTAACTTCATCGGAGATGACAGCACAAAATCACATAGCCTAAAACACACAGATAAGTAATGCAAAGAAAGCAGTGATTTTTATTATATTCTATCATGTGTAAAATAAAACTGGAAACAAAATCAATGTACTTAATTAAAAACGTTTCATGTCGAAACTTCAAAATGTACTAAAATACTTATCTGGAAGCACTAAAATAACAGCTCATGAATATTAATTAAATAAAAAATGCTGCTGCTTAATTCCAGCAGTATGTTAAAATAAACCAATATCTAACTTACTCTAAGTTTCTAGTTTGTCATTTATTATAAAGCTCATTGTATTGATAAAAGATAAAATTTAAAAAAGACTTCTAATCTCATCCATAAAAAGAGAAGAGAAGAAAGATCATGAAATGGAAACATGAACAAATTTATTTTTTCTGAAAAAGCATACCCATCCTTGCCATGCTAGTTCTACTTCATCTTGGCCCATCACTTTCACCTGAAAGTAAAGCATTTCCTCCACATGCCAACATTTCACATCAATAATCCTGAAACATACGACGTCATAAACAGCACAAACAAAATCTGTCCAATGTCATGTCACTGGATGGCTGAGGCATTGATTGAGGGTGATGAAGTTCTTAGAAGCTGACGGCACCACAAAAAGTATTGTGTGGTAATCTTGTTCCTCGGTTCGCACAGCCGTGTCAGTACGTGTGTGATTCTCTGTGTGTTCCTCCTGGGGTCAGGATCCATCAACTGGACCAACAATTAGTGTCATCATGTGATGTACATCATGCCTGTTACTTTTCACTTTCAACGACTTAATCTCCAGCTCCATGACATAGAGAATCTTATACAGATAAGATCAGGCGCTGAGCTGGTAAACGTTTGACAATTTAATTTAGAGTAACATCACTCATCAACAATTGTCAGATTCAAGAGTCAAAGTCATTTATCTCATAAATGCCATGCAGTCTATAGATGCTGCCTGGTGTTTGAAAACAAAGCACTGCACTAGATCTAGATATTTCACCATGTCAAAATAAAAGCAAATGACAGTAAAAGTATAAATCTACAATTGATTTGACTGTCATTCATGCATCCTGTCATGACGACTATGATCTGTCCACCACACTTTGAGTGCTTTGACTTTGATCTCACACAAAGTGGTGACAAGTTCTTTACGTCTGGTTCGAAAACTAATAAACTAATATAATTATGTGATTAAGTTGGTTCGACAACAGCTCGTAATCGTTATAACATCTGACATATCCAGGTGACATAGAAACCAGAAGCTGAAACACAAAACAGTGATGTTACGCGAGAATTGCACCGCGAATTGAAATACGAATCGAAACCTTGAAAAGTGTGACTCGCAGGGATCACAGACCTGTCAATCATCAGCCTTTCATCGCCCATCCATGGAATAAGAAGCTTGCCTTTATCGACATCTCTAGCCTTCTCATTGTCTCGAAATAATTTACAGGCATAGCCAAATACAAGCAAGTCCTCATTCTTATTTCTTTCATCACGTTGACTTGAGATGTCGGGCTCATCCCACCATAAAGACGCCGCCATTTTGAATAGTCATAATCAGCTCCGGCCTCATTGATTTATAATACAGGGGAGTGCTCACATTAGAGGGTTGGGGAATCCCGAAATGGTGCAAAACTGGATAATATGGCAGACTCGGATGGAAAGGTGGATTGGGTTTCAGCACGGAAGATCGCATCATCAGTACCATTTACAAATATCATTCTTCTATACAATTGGTGTTTAATAATAGGCCAAATGGTGATCGTTGCATTATTTCTTCTTGGTGGTCCATTTTTCTTTGGTTTTAGATTAAAATAGTTTTGGATGATAACACCCAAGACAGATGTAGACTTATTTTGACGCGAGATTGCAAGTTCGGTGGTTCGAGGCTCAGTTCAATACCTCGGACATGTGCTTTCCTAGATCGAAGAAAGCTTGAAGTCTGTGGGATTCGCGAATTGTCCATATTTTGGCTTGGTAGGGAGGGATATATGGATGTTAAATTCGGAGTATAGAGACAACACGCCTTTCAATGTTGCAAGGGACGTTAAACCTGAACAATTTCACAAATCTTGCATAAGCTTCTATTTTATTTCATTAATTATTTATTTATCATTTAATTTTTTTTTCTTTCGATCTCTAATTTTACAATACCTCTTCAGAAAATGCTTAGGCCTACTAAGCGTATTATACTTTTAAACAGATTAAGATTCCATAGCCTGTTGGTGACTTCAGGAAAGGTTGGACTATAGTTGAATTCTTGTTTTGGATTGTTCTGAATAGAACATCGTGATTTCCTAATTGGAGGGAAAGAGAGAGAGAGAGAGAGAGAGAGAGAGAGAGAGAGAGAGAGAGAGAGAGAGAGAGAGAGAGAGAGAGAGAGAGAGAGAGTGTTGTGTGTGTGTGTGTGTGTGTGTGTGTGTGTGTGTGTGTGTGTGTGTGTGTGTGTGTGTGTGTGTGTGTGTGAGAGAGAGAGAGAGAGAGAGAGAGAGAGAGAGAGAGAGAGAGAGACACAGAGAGAGAGAGATAGATAGAAAGAGAGAGAGACAGAGAGAGAGAGAGAGAGAGAGAGAGAGAGAGAGAGAGAGAGAGAGAGAGAGAGAGAGAGAGAGAGAGAGAGAGAGAGAGAGAGAGAGAGAGAGAGAGAAGAGGGGGCACACGAACAAATGAAATGTTGAAAATAGAGAGAAAACAAACCGACATTTTGGAAAAATCAAATAGATTGGTGACTGATCGCTTATATATCTTGGGCAAAGAAAGAACGTCCTTTCTTGACAAAACAATCCTTATTCACTGAGATAAAGGAACATTATAGGCCTCCTTCTAATATCTTCCGAACAAAACTATAAAGTTCCCACAGCAGTGTCATATCTGTGCCACAGACTCGAGCTAACGACGGTGAACTATAGCCATGGCATTTCTTTGGGAACTAAAATTTGCTTTAAACGATTATAGATCTATACCTTTGAACTTGATGCTCTTTATCTGAAATTTACGAGGTGCATATCCATCCCAGTTAGGCTATAATTTAGATTGTAAAAGATTGTATCAACTTTTTTCTTCAAAGAGGGTAGGTTTTTTTAAATGATAGTCTTTTCTTCTGTTGTACCGGCGAGAGCGGGCAACTATTTTTGCCGTACACCGGTTCATTGAGAACGTAAACAAAATGGCGACTTCCTGTTGTAAAATTCAATGGAATCACTGCTAGGAGGAATCGACTTTGAATGACAGAATGCCGAACGTTTCTTCCGTAGCTTGGCTATCATAAACTTCATTTATCACCATGAAGAGAAGATAAACTCACATGATGTCGTTTTTTAGGCGCAAGTCAGGTACAGTCCACTTTAAAAAAAAATGCTTTTACATTCGCCTTCACTCAAGAAATCAGAAAGTAGGCGTTTCCCCCCCGTCTATTATCTTGATGAACCTCGGTTAACTCGGTACCCGAGCACTGGTCTCTGCTCAGGCTAAGATTTCAAATGGTCTGCCCTGTCTGAAAAGAGATAGGGGCATTTATAAGACTTGGGAATTGAATGTGGAATAGGACTCAAAAGGCATCCTTACTGTGCCTTGCAACTGTCTTAGTAGTCTTAGTGAGCTAACTACAGAGTTAGAGATCTAAAGACTAGATTCTAGATCTAGAATCTAGATCTAGAGTCTAGAATATAGATCTACTAGAGTCTAGATCTAGAGATCTTATAAAATGATTATTGATAAAAATCATACTACTCTACATAAAATTTCTGCAATTTCATTAGTCATGAGTCATGATTAGATTAGTTATCGTCTCTAGAACTAATATCTAGTAGTACTAGATCGGGGGCTCTCGTGGCCAAGAGGTTAAGGTGTTGGCTTCTCATTCAAAAGGTCCCGGGTTCGAATCCGGGTAGCGACAGAAACATTTTCTTCTCTAAACTTGTCTCCTTTCACCTGACTTCCTGCTCTCTAGCAATCATGTTCTGTCGTCTGCTTTCGTCTCCTCCTTCTGCACCCACCCCCTCACCTCCTTGGCCCCTTCCTCTGGGCTCCTGAGTCTTTCTGCAGCCTTTCTACTGCTACTCCTTCGCTTCTTCTTCTTACTGCTGTCTTTCAGCCACTCCCCTGATCTTCTGGTAGGAAAGATCTACACCTAGTCCTAGCCTTCTCGGACAAGGGCAAAAAATCTCAGAGGGCCAGTGTGCAAGTTGTGCACGTTAAAGATCCCTTGGTGGTCTAAATTCGATAAGAGTAGGCTTCAAGCCGCCACCCGGGCAAAATTCAAAATTTCCTACCAACTGAAAATATTAGGTGTGTCCCGCGTGCTCATATGACCAGGGTTGGGTTGATTTAAATCAGGTTGATTTAAATCAGTTGATTTTTTAAATTTAAATCAACTTGATTTAAAAAATAAAAATCAGTGATTTAAATCACTTTAAAATTTTTTGATTTTTATTCAGTTTTTACATATTTCAACATTCAGAATTCCCTTCCTTGGTTTCATAAAACAGATATAAGGTTAAGTAGACTAATATAATCATGTTTAAAAGTCTGTTTTCCCACCTTTCACTGTAAAATAATACAGTATTGAATTTACTTTTTTTTCCATAATTGAAATCAGAGCTGGGTTGATTTAAATCAGTTGATTTTTTTATATTTCAATCAACTTGATTTTTAAAATAAAAATCAATGATTTAAATCACTTTTTTTAAACAAATGTATTCAGTTTTTACATATTTGAACATTCAGAATTTCTTTCCTTGGTTTATTAAACATATATAAAGTTTAGTAGACTAATATAATCATGCTTAAAAGTCTGCTTTCCCCCCTGTCACTGTAAAATAATACAGTATTCAACTGACTTTTTTTTCATAATTGAAATCAGGGTTGGGTTGATTTAAATCAGGTCGATTTAAATCAGTTGATTTTTTAAGAATTTAAATCAACTTGATTTAAAAAATATATATATATATATATATGTATACTATTATATATATAGCAGATTAAGGCTTTCTTTTGAGGTTGCTTAATTTAATCATTAGTTAAAATAAAGACAATGCATTTTGCACTAAAAGAACATACTTTTAGCAACCAAAAATCCCAAACTGTGTCGACATTTTTAAAAAAATCAAAAAAATCTGATTTAAATAAAAAAAATCATGATTTAAATTTAAAAAATCGATTTTTTTGATTTTTATGAAAAAAATCAAAAAAATCACCAACCCTGCATATGACCTTATATGCAGTTGCGAGCGCTGTAAAACACTTAACAAAAACAAAGTACTAGATCTAAGTAGGGGAAATAGTTTCCAGCCTCAGACCCAGTCTACCCAGTGAGGAAATCAAGAAATGATATAATTTCATTGTATGATCAATTTCTAAAACTGGAAATGCAAAGGATGTGGGCCTCGGATTAGGATTTGATGATTTGAGGAATTGCAGTTGATGTCAAGTTGGCAACCTTTGAATTGTGTAGGAATTTTTCCAAGATAGAATGTCTTGAACAAAAAACAAACAAACTAAACAGAAAAATACAGTCGAACCTGTGTAAGACGGAATCGCAAGGGAGCCAGAAAAAAATTCCGTCTTAGACAGGGGAATTTAGGGGGTATTGAGGTGGGGGGGGGGGGGGGTTCAAAGGCCTAGCCAGTGGGATCAAGGATCACTTGTCCGATGGGATGGGCAAGCAGTGGTCAAAACTTCACATCTCTCAATTGCTATCCTGTCTGATAATGACATGCACTAGTTACTTATCCAGTTACCACCAGTGCTTGCCTTTCATAGGACCACTGCTTGACCTATAAAAACTGAAACGTTTGAACATCTCCTTTGGTTCCACCCTTAACCCCACCCACCAATGCCACCCCTCACTGTCATCATTGTAATGACGATTCGATGAATCTTTTCTCGGCTGGCCGTACGATCAGGGCGGCAGGCATTGGTCAATCTAATTTCACACCTCTGGCTTCTGGCTACCCAGGAAAGTTTCTGTAGTGGCTCGCTACTCGAGCACTCTCACAGGAAGTCATGAGATTTCACACCCACACTACACTGACCATCTACATCGCTCAGGGCGCACATGATGGGGTAACATCTACCCCCAAATTGCACCCCTACTCCCCTTCCTCGCCCAGCGGCATGGCCATAGCGTTAAGTTTATAGTCGGCGGAACCAAACTTGCGTGTTTTGTTTTAAATCAGGATTGAGCGGGCAAAGCATTTTCCGTCTTAGACAGGTGAAACCCTCGGAAGGAAGCGGATTTTTCTTTCCGTTTCCGCGTTGGACAGGTTTCCGTTTTATTCGGGTAATTAAAGAGGAATATAATATCAAGGGGGGAGCGGGGAGATTCCGTTAAGACAGGTTTCCGTTTTATACAGGTTTCCAGGCAGGTTCGACTGTATCCAATAAAATGAATAGATCTAGATCTTCTAGCTTTTGGCTGAATTAAAGCTTCAATTTATCAGTGACTGACCAAATAATAGATATGTACATGATACATGATAGTATGTACTGAATCAGAAACAAACGGCTCTATGGATAGACTGAGGTTCTTGATCACTAGACCTTTGATTCAAAATTGACCTTTGATTCATAATCATAATTTATCTTTTTCTCCTATAGTATAATTTTTATTAAATCTGAAGGGAAATGAGAATTATTTTTGATTAATTAGGTCAAGCAAGCCATGCTTTTTTGGGGTTTTTGGTACATGATTTATGGCGCTCACAACTGCATCAGGTCATATGAGCGCGAGTGACCTAACATTTTCAGTTTGTAGAAAATTTTGAATTTTGCCCGGGTGGCGACCAAAGCCTACTCTTATCGATTTTGGACCTCCAGGGGATCTTTAAAGTGCGCAACTTGCACCCGGGACCTCCGAGATTTTTCACCCTTGTCCGAGAAGGCTAGGTGTGTAGATCTTTCCTACCAGAAGATCAGGGCTGTGGCTAAAAGACAGCAATAAGAAGGAGCCAAGAGGAAACAGTGGAAAGGCTGCAGAAAGAGTCACGAGCCCACAGGAGGGGGCAAAGGAGGTGAGGGCAAAGGAGGTGAGGGGGTGGGGGTAGAAAGTGGAGACGAAAGCAGACGACAGAATATTGCCAGAGAGCAGGAAAAGAGGTGAAAGGAGACAATTTTTAGAGAAGAAAATTTTTCCGCTGTTACCCGAATTCGAACCTGGGACCTTTAAATGAGAGGCGAACACCTTAACCTCTAGGCTACGAGAGCCCCGAGGCCATGCTTTAATGTTATGAATTTCTTTTGAAATTTTTGCCTCACCAGAGAAGCAGAAGTCTGCAGCAGTGAAGCTACCCTCAAGCTTGGGGTCAGGTTTGAAGAGGACTCCATCCAACCGATCCAATAAAAGTTTACCCCAGTCTCCAGACACACCGGATTCGTGGAATGAGGAGAACGATATCGGTATGTTGGGAAGTTTCATGTATGCGGGGTGCCTATTGGAGGATCAGGGCGGGGCGGGGGGGGGCTTGCTAGCCAGATTGAGGGTGCAAAGCGGCTATCATGGCACAAGCTGCTCACGCCTGACTCGGTGCCTCAAAAACAAACTGAGTTTGTTTTCAGACAACGAGTTGGGTGATTGACCCGACCCCATCAAAGCCCATCCGATCCCATGGGCAATGTGCACCCGGTCTAGGCATGTGTTCTTTGATATGTTGAATATGGCAAGGCAAGTTCATGTTAGAGTATCAATGTGTTTGCTTTTTTATCCAATAGTCATTTGAGTCAACTTGAGTCTGCTAAATTTGTTTCAGAAGAGAGTTCTTTACAATAGTATGATGAGTAAAGAGAAACACACCTGTTACTTATTTAGTGCAAGAAAGAAGTAAGACAGACAGAAACAGCAGAGGGAAAGAAAAGAAGAGACCAACCAGTGGTGCCTTCCTGCCATCTGCTAAATGTTAAAAAAGTTAAGAGCAGAAATGGAGAAGCAAAAGAAGACATGGGGACATCTGCAATGCATTATAGTTTTTGTTACTGCAAAAGTACACAGCTAAAAAGGACAATTGTTAGCATCTCTCCAAACGTGACTAATTTAGCTTTGATTCTTTCATTGGGGAGAGTCTGAACTTGTCGTGTCGTGTCCCACACTCCCATTGTTTTGCCTCAGGTGTTGTTTCCAACGGGAGCGCGTCGGGCCTGCGTCGTCCCAGAACTCTTTGCCTCTCGGAGACTGTTCTTCAAGATGGCAAAGGTGAGCAACAGATCCATTTTTTTGTTGATAGTGTTCAGTCTCCCTGCCAAGGTTACTTGTTTGGTGAGCTAAGTCTCCTGAGCTAATTAAAAAAACAAAACAAATCTTTTTAAGTGTATATTTTTACTTCATTCCATTTTGTTGTAAGCTTTGGCCAATTTGATTTTCCTTTCCTGAGCCGATCTTGTCAGCATGGCGTGCCAGACAAGTGTCTGCCTTTTTTAAATTTCTTAATTTCTGTCTCCTGTTTCATTCAAGAAGTCCTTACATGCTGAGAGTGTTGATTATGTAATACAGACAGAATTGTCATGTATGCTTTATCTTCTTTACAGTGTGTAAATGCCTGTTCAGAGAAGAGCAAATGTTATTGTTATCTTTGTTCATGCCTGAAATGATTTTAAAGTTGTACTGACTGGAGTTCTGTTTTCTTTCTCTGCTCCTGGTCTTATTTCAACGATTCAACTGTTAAAGTTTACATACCCTTTGCATTGATTCTTCTAGATATTCCGGAAAACTCCCTAGAGTCGCCAATGCGGACGTCTTCCCGGCTGTCAAAGACGTTACTTGAGGTTGTACGGGACCAGGACGCCCTCTCTTGCCTCAAGTCCTTTCTGCGGAGTCAGAATGCTGAGTCCCTGCTTCAGTTTTGGTGCGACGCCGAGTCTTTCCACGCAGCCACATTGACGCGCCGGCGAACACACTCCCTCCAACATGTGTCGAAAGGCTCCCTCCACAAGAGACGCAGCGGCAGCGTGCTTAACGCGGCATCCAATCAGGAGAGTGGCCCGAGCCCTAGCCCAGCCTCCCCCGCCATTGACCCCGTCATGGGGGACTCCCTGGACCGTTACGACAGTCAGACTGCTACACCGTCGTCAAGAGTGGGTGGCGGGGAGGAAAAATCTGGGCACGGTTTGTCCACGACTGTAGCAAATGCTGCAGATCCCCACCAGCACGGCTGTAAAGAGGAGCTACTTTCTAATCCACCTGTTGTTGCCTTACCTCAAGCCCAAGCCGTCAACTCTTGCGGCAAAGATGGTGCACGGTTGCCAGACGGCAGTGCAGATACACTCACGCGGAAACCACCTGAGGAAATTTCTGAAAAATGTCCCGAAATAGAAGATATTGCCTCATCATTGCGTGCAGGAAGTGAAAGGCTGGCAGCTGGTTCGAAAGTCCCGGCAGAGGCAGGTTCTCTCTCAGACAGTGTTCCCCGACCGCAGCAGACACCCACGGCCCAGTCTCCGAGCGGGCGTGACGGTGAGCTGATCTCTCCACAACACCCACACACAGAGTCGGGGGACGAGAGTGGGAAAGTGGACGGGTCGTCTGGTGACCTCACAAGTCCCACGTCCAGTCAAGAAGATCTGGCGACAAAGCTGAAAAAGAGTAAGTGAGAAGTGTATAACATCAAAACAAAGTAAATTGAATTAAGATTTCTTCCACACCTGCGTAAGTGATTTCTTCAATATTTCTGCTTGTGTGGTTAGGGCTAGCAGTTTTGACATTTTCAGGTTTTATCCTGAATTCATGATTTTTTTTAAAAATGGAAGAGAAAGTCCAAAAGTTTTGTTCTTTCTTGTCTGTTATATAATAGATACAACATTATGTGTACTGCTGATATGAAACCTTTACAATTCTTTGATGTCTATTATAAAGTGAGAGATGTAAGGATTTTCTGTAAGAGAGTACATTTTCATGTGTCTTTGTGAAATGTAAAGAGCCTAGGTCAGCTCATGGTGATGATTGGGAGAGGGTGCTAAAAGAATATACTACATGAGTTTTGTCCATAATAATATTTTTCTTCTTATTGTGGTATGAGAGTACACCAGTGTGGTTGTGGAAGTGTTGCTTTGAGACAGGGAATGCCGTAAAGTTGTGGAACTTTCTGCTCTTGTCTGCAGGTATAGAACGGGATGCCGTGACAATCTTCTCTACTTACATCGCCAAAGACGCGCCACGGCCTATCGGGGTCAACGACCTCTTGCGATCGGAAGCTATCAGTAAGTTCCACAGACCGCCACGTCGCCTCAGTGGCTGGAGGGGGATGCTGCTTTTTCCTTGTTTCTTTTTTTACTTTGTCGTTTCTGTCTGTCTCTTTCCATTTTCACGACAGTCGATCAGCATTGTTTAGTGAATAGAATTTGTTTTATTCGTTAAAATGTTACACAGATGAGTTTTTGCAGTTTGCATAGTGACGACGTACGTTGACTGAATCAATGTTTGGTTTGGACATTATGTTCTTCTCAGACAGAATCCTGAGCCGCCCCCCCCCCCCCCCCCTCGCGGCGGTGCTGCTGACTGAAGCGTCTTCAGGCCATTCCCAAAGGGGGGGGGGGGGGGACACTGACCTGTTCTTGTGTACTGTAGAGTTGTAAATTGGCTGATTCATCGATGTCATGCTCATAACTGTGCCTGAACTGCAACACTGAACTGCTGCTTTTTCTTTCCTCATCCTTACTATCGTCATTTTTCCTCTACTTCTTTTTATGTTTGTCACTCTATTTCCGGGGTGCCTTGATAGTCGAAGCAGACTTTGTGCTGTTGAGGCTAGAGAGGTGAGCAGAGTCAGTCTGATTCCCTGTAAGGACTTCTCTGTTGACATCCACCCCTGGCCGCTCATATGACCTTATGCAATTGCGAGCGCTGTAAAACCTCTACTAAAACTAAACTAACTGTCTCCACCCACAGGTCGGATCTGTCGAGAGGACGGAGAGGTGGACCCCGAGTGTTTTGTCAGTTGCCAGAGATTTGTCCTGGATAAGATCGATGCTCAGTGAGTTGCCTGGTTGTTCTAATCTTAAAAAGTTTTTTACCCCACAACACAATCGAGTCCAGTAGGCTCAGATAAAAAAAGGGGGTCGGAGACTGCCTCAGGAAACAAATTGTCATATAAATTACGGACCGTCTACTTTCCCGCCTGGATGTTCCTGATGAAATGTTTCCTTCTCTCCTGTGCTTGTGGTAGAGATGTCAGGACCCCCCCCCCCCCCCCCAGGGCAGTTCTACTGACTGAAGTGTCTTTAGGCCATTCCCAAAGGGGGGATATTAACATGTTCTTATGCACAGTAGAATTGTAAATGGGCTGATTTATCAATGTCATGCTCATACTGTGCTGGAACAACATAGGGGAACTGCTGCTTTTTCTTTCGTCATCCTTACTATCGTCATTTTCCTCTACTTCTTTTGTATGTTTGTCACTCTCTTGTGAACTGCTATTTCCGGGGTGCCTTGATAGTCGAAGCAGACTTTGTGCTGTTGAAGCTAGAGAGGTGAGCAGAGTAAGTCTGAATCCCTGTAAGGACTTCTCTGTTGACATCCACCCCTTGGTGCTCATATGACCTTATGAGGTTGCGAGGGCCGTAAAACCTTACTGAAACAAAAAACCAAAAACTTGTTGACCCTCGGTCATCCACTGTTGTTTGTTGTTTATTTCACCTGCCAGGTACTTCCCAGGGTTCCGGGACAGCGAGCACCACTGCAGCCACCAGGCGCACGTACTCACCACGGAGCGCATCTATCTCCCCGACATCCTGCTCAATGAGAACGCCCTGTGTTACTTCATGGAGGTGAGCGATCTTCTCTGCTGACACTGCACAAATTTGGCCGCTGGTTAAGACAAAAAAAAAAAGACTTGTAATGTGCTTTCAAACAAATTATTTAAATTCCTTTGTTTGCTGGTTTAAGGCAAAAAAAGAATTATAATTTGCTTTCAAACAAATTATTTAAATTCATTTTCTGCTTTCTCTTTTCGTGTGTTTCGTTCTCTTTCTCTTGGATGGCTGCCTGTTTGCTGATGTTTCCTCCCATGTTGTTTTAGAAACCTCTGACGTGTTGTTGTGGTTGTCTGTTGACATTCTCTGCTGTCACGTTTCTCTGTACCCGTGTTTTAGTAGGGGTGGTTGGTGGGTGCTTTCACATGGTGACCTCTTACTTTTGAGTGGTTGGCAGATGCTCTGGTGTGGTTTGCTCTTTCTTTCCTATCAAACATCTATCATCCTTATCTCCCCTTCTTCTTTTTTATGTTTGTTACTCTCTTGTAACACCTCTAATCTTCTGGCGCTCATATGACCTTATGCAGTTGCGAGCGCTGTAAAACCTCTACTAAAACTTTAACTAAAGTGTGGTCATTCCGCTATCATACAGCCTGTCTGTGTATTTCCTCTGAGCTCAAGCCGCAGTGAGTGGTGAGGAGAGGTAATGTCTTTACTGAATTTTTTCTCTTTACTAACCGTATCATGTTTCTGTGTTATCTTTTACTTTTCTCCGTGTTTTGGTCTTTGACATCCTCTCTTAAAGCCTCCTAGTAAAATAGACCAGCGTCATATTAAGAAGGAAGTCGTGTAACTTCTTGTCTGATTTGTGACGCGACATTCTGTGTCAACTCCCTCTCCTCGCACTCTGAGGATCCACACAGAACGGTCTTTTACTTAACTTGTAAGTCCAATCAGGTGACTGTTACGTCCCCGCATGTTTTCTTATAACTGACCTTGACCCTTCTGCTTGTTGCGACAGTACATGGAACAGGAAGGCGGCAGCGACCTGATGCAGCTGTGGCTCGCGGCCGACAACTTCCAGCAACAGCTGTCGGCAGCCGGCCCGGGCTACGACTGGGAGCAGGCTCAGAACGACGCGATGGTCATCTATGATCGGTCAGTGGGCTTGTTTTCAGAACGGGACATGTCCGTTCTTTGTGAACTATTATGAGGTCTTCTGATAGATTTCTCTCTTGTTTGTACCCCCCAGGGTGGTGCCGCCGATTGAAGTGTCTTTAGGCCATTCTCAAAGGCGGGACATTAACATGTTCTTATGCACAGTAGAATTGTAAATGGGCTGATTTATCAATGTCATGCTCATACGGTGCTGGAACAACATAGGGGGAACTGCTGCTTTTTCTTTTCTCATTCTTACTATCGTCATTTTTCCTCTACTACTTTAGTATGTTTGTCACTCTCTTGTGAACTGCTATTTCCGGGGTGCCTTGATAGTCAAAGCAGACTTTGTTCTGTTGAGGCTAGAGAGGTGAGCAGAGTAAGTCTGATTCCCTGTAAGGACTTCTCTGTTGACATCCACCCCTTGGCGCTCATATGACCTTATGCAGTTGCGAGAGCCATAAAAAAACTCTACCAAAACTAACTCTCTTGTTTGACATTTTATGTCAGCCATTGTGTATATGGGTGGTTGGAGGGTGTCACTGGTAGGTCCTACTGCTTTACTTTCCCTCTGTTGTTTCTGTCTGTCTGTCTGTCAGTCTGTCGATCAGTCTGATTTTTTCTCAGCACGAAATGACCATAATGGTGTTAATGTGCTTCTCTTGACTCAAACAAACAAACAAACAAACAAACAAACAAACAAACAAACAAACAAACAAACAAACAAACAAACAAACCACTGTGTGTGCTGGCTGGAATGTCTTTTGTTCATAATTAGAAATATGAATATGAGAATTTGTCTTTCGTTCGTCATTAGAAATATGAATGTGAGAATTTGTCTTTTGTTCGTCATTAGAAATATGAATGTGAGAATTTGTCTTTCATACTTCAGCTATTTCTCCCTCCAAGCCACGCACCCTGTGGGCTTTGACGACAAACTTCGCTTCGAGGTGGAGGGCAACATTTGCCGGGAGGGGGGGCCACTCCCCGACTGTTTCACCAAGGCCAAAAACATCGTGCTCAAAATCTTGGAGAAGGTAAACTCGCCGGGGGAGAAATGGTCGCTTTTAAGCACAAGGGGGTGATCTCGGAAAATGCTGTTTTGAGAAAATCGAAGGTAAAGTTTTTGCCCCTTTTTCAGTTTCTTTAAAAGACAAGGAGAGTTTTCTCTATAACCAAACAAATGTACACACCAATGAAACAAAACTTCTATAGGTAGGGCAATGCCTACTTTTGGTGTAGGTCAAGTTTTCTGAAAAACCCCGAAATGTGTGTTAGCCCGCTAGTCCTTAAAAGCAACCAATTGTGGTCAGCGTGCGGCGATAACGGCTCAAGTCAGACTTGGACCAAAATCAAACGGATCCCCCAATGGCATTCCCTGTACAACAACCTACAACCATATCATGTTGCTGTGTAAATGCTGCAAATTTCCAGAACGAAATCATTCTGGCTTGAGTCAGGAAAAAATCTGAAATGAAGAATTCCTTCTGCTCAGAGCGACGTTAGATGGCTTTGGCTGTTATTGTTGCTTACAGATTGGATTAACGAGTAAATTTCCTCTTTAGAAAGTGGTGGCACAGAGTTCCCCACGTCGTCTGGTTACGATAGTCAAACACAACGTACGGATAGGGTAAAGTGATGGGACAGAGTTCCCCACGTCATATGGATACGATAGTAAAACACAAAGTACGGACAAGGTTAAATAACCTTTCAGTGTTGCCAGGGGCATTCAACCTGTACCATTTCACTTTGTTGTTGTTGTGGAGCAGATGTACTTCCCGGGCTACCTCCAGAGCCAGGTGTACCATCGCTACCTGTCGGATCTGGTGAGCACCGTGCAGATGGCGGAGGACATGCACAACAAACCCTACCACAAGGTGCACCGACGCACAGGTCAGAGGTCGTTTGTGTTATTTATTGCTGGTGCGTGCGTGTGTGGGTGTGTGGTTGCGTGTGTGCGTGGGTGTGTGCGTGCATGTAAATATAGTGTGTAAATGAGTGTGTGTAAAAACTGTGCAGATGGCAGAGGACACGCACTACAAACCTTATCACAAGGTACACAGACGCACAGGTCAGAGGTCGTTTGTGTTATTTACAGGTGATATGTGTGGGTGCGTGCGCGTGTGGGTGCGTGCGTGTGTGCTTGCATACGTGCGTTGCGTGCGTGTTTCTGTATGTGTAAGTACAGTACGGAGGACTAAACACAAACAGTTTTCGTCTTTCTTTAAGGTTTTCACAAACACACTCAAACACACATTCATACACACATACGCTCGCTTATTTTTGTATAACAGCATGGGCCAGGAACACAAGACAACAAGATAAAGAAAAATTAAATCGATCAATATGATTAATTAATACGGAAAGCATGTCAATTTTCACATCTACATTCCCCTGCTTGGATGAATTGCACATTATTGCTCTTACTAGAAAAAGGAATTCCAACTTTCTAGACAACAAACATCCCTTGTTCCCTCATCAGTCAGAAGTAAAAGACCTAGGCTTGTGTGTCTAACAAACAAAGTCTCACCGTCTGTTGTCTGTGTCGTTAAACCTCTTCTCCTCCTCCTCCTCCTCCTCCTCCTCTTCTATCCCGTGGTTGGGGCAACCGTGGGGGCACCACTGCATCAGAAAACCTGCTATCGCCATCTATTTTTGTCCTCTGCTTTCCTCAGATTGTCACCCATCCTCTTCCCTGTCCACTCTGTAATGTTGTCCTCCCATCTCCTTCTCTGCCTTCCTCTCTTTCTCTTTCCTTGTACAGTTCCTTGCAGGATTGTTTTTGCAACACCTCTACGAAAACTTTACTAAAGTCTCCTGTACTGTTGTGTGTGTTTTACCAGAGAGTGACGCGTCCTCGGAGCACAGCATTGGCAGTCAGAGCACGGGGGCGGAGAGTATGGTGTCTCGCAACACGCTCCTGGCCGTGGACACGCGCCGAGTCCGTAAGGGAGGCACGGGGGCCGCGGGGCCCATCGTCGGAGACTTCAGCATGACCCCGGAGATGTTTAACCCCGACGACCTCTGGAAAAGACCTTCCGCAGGGTGAGCCTGACCTTTCTGACCTCCGTCTCGCTGTTTTTTTTACTCTAAGGTATCGAATAAACGTAACCCCCCCTCGCTTATTAATTTTCAGTTTTTTTGCACGCGCCCCCCATTTGTTATATTCCAGCTTGTCACGACCGACAATCATTTGAAACATTATATCTAGAATCTACATATCTGAATGAAACTTCTTTTTTTTTCGTTGTTGTAAATGGCAAATTACCCTTAGTAATAGTACTGGTACCGAGTTGGATGCCTCAATTTTGGGCATTTAAAAAACTTTTGTACATTGGTTTATATTTTTGAATGACACTGGTTTGTTCCTAAATGGGGAAAGTTGTCACAGTAACTGACTAAAATCTCTAACATTTCCTGACCTGTTGTTCTTTCATTCACTGAGGGAGAAATAAAACAGATTTGTTCCTGCTAGTACAGGGGGATGAGGTTGAATGTGCCACATCCTCCCCCCTTGTATTCCACCCCCCCACCTTTTATTCCTCCAGCCCCCACCCCCCTTTTGTTCGGTACCTTAAGAGTAGGTCTGGAGTTATATCTTCTGCGGCTATCATAAAGAATTTCATCAGCCACGCCCTGTAGTCTTTCTCCGTATGTCAATGCCAGGTAGAAAGGGGAAGGCAGAGCTAGTCAGAGTGTCCTTTGGGTGGTTGGCGGGTGCTCTGGTGTGGTTTGCTTCTTCTTTCCTATCAAACATCTATCGTGTTTATCTCCCTTAAACAGACCTTGTGCTATTGAAGCTAGAAAGGTGAGCAGTCTAAGTCTGATTCCCTGTAAAGACCTCTCTGTTGACCCCCACCCCTTGGTGCTCATATGACCTTATGCAGTTGCGAGCGCTGTAAAACCCTCTACTATAAAAAAAAGATATCTCCCTTCCTTCTATTTTGTGTTTGTTACTCTCTTGTAACGCCTGTAATCTCCGGCACTTATATGACCTTATTGTGTTGCAAATGCCGTAAAACTTTTACTAAACTAAGTCTGGGAATGACACACTACGTGAATGACACGCCTCATGTTTTGTTCAGAATGACACACTCTGTGAATGACACGCCTCATGTTTTGTCTCCTCCTGATGTTGCAGAGACCTGAGCCTGGGCTGTGTCAATGAACTGGGTCAGTTTGTCTCCCAGTTTGAGCAGGGAGTGGATCAGGATCGGAGAAAAGGTCGGTGGTCCCTGATTTGTTGTCTTTGTTATTGTTGTTATTGTTGTTGTTATTGTTATTGTTGTTATTGTTATTGTTGTTATTGTTGTTGTTATTGTTATTGTTGTTATTGTTGTTGTTATTGTTATTTACTCATTTTCTATAACTTTTTCAAGTAGAATGTCATGATGTCTTCTTTTCTTGTATTGAGCTGGACCGTTTATTTGTGAGGTGGGTGTACTTGTCATGTAGATATGGACCTGCTTTTGTACGTGTCTGCTTGAAGAAATGGGAGTCAAGACTTGACGACCTTCACACTGGAGAATATTGGAAAGGAAAACTTTGTCAGTGGGAGAACTGTGATGTAACTGTCGTAACATTGTCAGTGGGAGAACTGTGATGTAACTGTCGTAGGACTTAGCTACACGCTTTTGATCATCATACAAAGCTGGAGGTCACTTCAGCTGTTTTTGTATACTCTTTAATATTTTATTTCTCTGAAATTTCTCACAGGTTCTGGATTTTTCAAGAAGTGGAAAGAAAAGGAAAAGGTAAGTTATGAGATTTGTTGAAGGAGAAGTGAATGAAACATGGAGGACGCTGTGTGTAAGGGAAATTGTTGAAGGGAAAGTGAATGTGATATGGCGACACTGTGTGGGAAATTGTTGAAGGGAAAGTGAATGAGATATGGAGGACACTTGGGGAAATTGTTGAAGGTAAAGTGAGTGAGATATGGAGGACACTTGGGGAAATTGTTGAAGGGAAAGTGAATGAGATATGGCGACACTGTGTGGGAAATTGTTGAAGGGAAAGTGAGTGAGATATGGAGGACACTTGGGGAAATTGTCGAAGGGAAAGTGAATGAGATATGGAGGACACTTGGGGAAATTGTTGAAGGTAAAGTGAGTGAGATATGGAGGACACTTGGGGAAATTGTTGAAGGGAAAGTGAATGAGATATGGAGGACACTGTGTGTGGGGAATTGTTGAAGGGAAAGTGAGTGAGATATGGATGACACTGTGTGTGGGGAATTGTTGAAGGGAAAGTGAGTGAGATATGGATGACATTGTGGGGGAAATTGTTGAACAGGGCTTTTTGCTTGTGCTTGTCAGTATTGTTCTTCTCCTGTGCATGAATGTCTGTAGTTGCTGGAAGGAGATTGATTTGAGAGCTGTCTGCTCTAACTCTTGTAATGTGGGGTGCCCGTATGGGGGATCGGGTCGGGGCCGGGCGGTTTGCTCGCCAGATTGAGGGCACAAAGTGGCTGTCCTGGCACAAGCCGATCGCACCTGACTCGTTGCCTAAAATGTTTGTCACTCTCTTGTGACCCGCTATTTCCGCGCTGCCTTGATAGTCGAAGCAGACTTTGTGCTGTTGAGGCTAGAGAGGTGAGCAGAGTAAGTCTGATTCCCTGTAAGGATTTCTCTGTTGACATACACCCCATGTCGCTCATGTGACCTTATGCAGTTGTGAGTGCCGCAAAACCTTACTAAGACTCAAAACGTCTTTTGTTGTGATATAAAAAAACCTGCTCTCGTGTTGAGTCTGACTTGTTGTTGGTGACCGCCTCAAAAATGCCAACTTGTGGGTGGTTGGCGGGTGCTCTGGTGTGGTTTGCTCCTTCTTTCTTATCAAACATCTATCGTCCTTATCTCTCCTCCTTCTTCGGCACATACATGACCTTATTGGGTTGCAAGTGTTGTAAAACTCTTTCTAAAACTACAACTAAAACAGCCACTTGTCTGTCCCTAGGAGCAGGAAGAGATGGCGCTGCGGGTGGCCCAGATGATAATCAGCGACGTGAACACGATGACCAAGACAGGGGAGACCATGATGGAGAACCACAGTTGACCACGGCCGCTCTCCCTACACGTGTTTTGTCCACGCAGCAGTTCAATGGACTGTCTCAAGCTCTGTTCTCTAGGCCTGCAAGTTGTCAGCGCGCAGCGGGCGGGCGCGTACATACACTGGGCACACGCATATTGACTGAGGAAAGGGTTCTGTGCTGAAGTTGTGTGGTCAGATGAATGTTGAAGATGTTGTTGTTGTAGTGTTGTAGGAGTCGAGAAGTGAGGTGGGGAAGGCGACGGTTTTGAAGCTGGGGACAGAACTCTGTGGCTGTAGCTTTTCTCTGGGTGGTTGACGGGTGCTCTGGTGTGGTGTGGTTTGCTTCTTCTTTCCTATCAAACAACTATCGTGTTTATCTCCTCTCCTTCTTTTTTGTGTTTGTTACTCTCTTGTAACACCTCTGGTCTTCGGCACTTATATGACCGTACTGTGTTGCAAGTGCCGTAAAACAGTTATAAGGGCAACTGCTTGTTCTTTTAGGAAGCAACACAGAAATCTTCGCTTTCATTTCGCATGTGGAGCGGGGACGGGACGGCTCTTTCTTTGTTTGCCTCGGTGTCCACCTCCCTATTTTCTTTGTAGACGTATTTCTAAATGTTGAAAAAGTCTAATTACGCCATAAGACTTTAGACAAGGAAAAATAAATCATTGATGGTCAAGGACGAGGAAAGATTGAGATACGCCCGTATATCCCGCAACCATTTGACAAGGAGATTTGGGTTCTAAATGATGATTACTTTAGTTTGACAAATACTTTCGTTACAAGCTCATTTTTATAAGTTGAGGTGTGGAATACAATAGGGGTGTGAATTTGTTGGATTTATTTGACACAGGGTACTTCCTGAAGGATGACAAGATTTTCAAAGATTTCTCTCCTAGAATATTATTTTGCAGTGTCAGTCAAGAGCTAATTTTTTACAAATATCAGTTTTGGAAAAATCTGTAGAAAAATGTTTTTTTGAACAGAAAAGAGTTTATTGCAGACAAGAACTTTTGAACAGTTTCGCTTTGTTCCGGTCTCTGTTAGCCCAGTTTGTGGCATATGAAACAACGGTGCTGATTTCCCTGGTTCGAATCCCAACGGCAAGACCTTGGGGCTTGTTTAGGAAACTTTTCTCGGCTCTTTCTCTCTCTCCACTTGGTGAGGTTTTATCAAAGACATCTCCCATGAGCTGACCTCTACGACAGTCTGTGGTGCCAAACACGTGCCACGAGGTTACAGAGAGGTCATGGACATTGACCTGTGACCTTGAGAGATGGGACGCTGACCTGTGACCTTGGCTGAGCTGATGTTGTGTTGCTTTTCTTCCTGTACAGCGCGAGGAGATTCCAGTGTAGGATGCGGAGGGTGATTGCTTTGTTGGTTTGTCTTTTCGGCTTGATCATTTATTGCACTTTCTCATAATTTGAACCTTTTTTTTTCACTTATGTAGTTTATTTTTTAGTTTTGTTGGGAAGGTTGTAGCCCTAAACCCGCCATTCTTTCGTCTGAAATTGTTTACCTTGTGACTTGCAACTTTTTGTATATTTATTTCTTCAGTTCTGTTTTTGTTTTTGATGGGCAGCTACGTTGGCTGGAATGTCTCATGATTGCGAGCACGTGCTGAGCTTGACACACAGGCGGTGCACTGTTGGAGAAGGCTTGGTGCACTGTCAGGGTGCACTGTCAGGGTGCACTGTTGGAGATGGCTCGGTGCACTGTCGGAGAAGGCTCGGTGCACTGTTGGAGAAGGCTAGGTGCACTGTCTTGTTGCTCACAAAAATCTGCTCCAATGTTTGTCGTGTTTTCTCGTACTCGAGAGTTTTAAGTTTTCTCTACGAAATAGTGGGATCTTTCCTCCTGATTTGTTCTATTGAAGGCTTCGTTTTGTAACGTTCAGCTCTCCCTTTTCATTCTTAGCGTGTGTGGTTTGTCCTTGGACAGCCGGACTGCCTGGTACCCCCCGGGGCAGTGCCACTGACTGAAGTGTCTTTAGACCATTCCCAAAGGGAGGATATTAATATGTTCTCACAAATAGTAGAATTATAAACGGGCAGATTTATCAATGTCATGCTCATACTGTGCCGGAACAACATAGGGGGAACTGCTGCTATTTTTTTCCTATCGTCATTTTCCTCTACTTCTTTTGTATGTTTGTCACACTCTTGTGACCTGTTATTTCCGGGGTGCCTTGATAGTCGAAGCAGACTTTGTGCTGTTGAGGCTAGAGAGGTGAGCAGAGTAAGCCTGATTCCCTGTAAGGACTTCTCTGTTGACATCCACCCCTTGGCGCTCATATGACCTCATGCAGTTGCGAGCGCCGTAAAAACCTCTACTAAAACTTAAACAAGCTGTATCATGTGTACTGCTGTAAGATCTACTTTCTCTATGTCTACCACACAAAGCTGTATCATGCATCCTGCTGTTGTCATCATCAATAAGGATGGACAGCCAAAGAGTAGAGATATTATATTTATCCTGTAGCTCTGCCCACGGTGGTGTGGTGGACTGAATAGCCCGCCGTTAGCTGTGATCTCGTTCTATAAATAGCTCTGAGTGATGTGGTTCTATGAATAGCTCAGAATGTATTCCACCCCTCTGTCGATCCATATGTTTATTTACGAAAGGCTTATGTTTGTCTACGAAAGGCATATGTTTATTTACGAAAGGCATATGTTTATTTACGAAAGGCTTATGTTTGTTTACGAAAGGCATACGTTTATTTACAAAAGTCATACGTTTGTTTACGATTACGAAAGGCATATGTTTGTTGACGAAAGGCGTATGTTTGCGTTGAAACCACATTCTTTCTCTCATGTTTCCTTATGCTTGTAAAATCAAAATCCAGTCAAAATCAAACTTTTATGTGGTTGAAACATGGACTGACTGTCTGTTCATTTACCTGTACATATGTACAAAATATGAACTATACTAACATCTAACTTTACTCACAGCGTGTGTGGTGGGTTCTGATCTTACACACAACATGTGTCGTGGGTTCTGATCTTACACACAGTGTGTGTCGTGGGTTCTGATTTACACATCCCTTTGTACAGTCTCAGAATGTCTGTAGCTTTGAAGCTACTCTCGGTATATCCATAAAGCCATAGGGAGTCAGTGAGGCTGAGGTGGAATGACAAAACAGATTTTCCAGTTTTAAAACTTTTTAAATTTTCGAGATAGCATACACCAGAAATATATGATCCAAATCCACAACCCTCGTAGATTCTTAAAGGATCTGAGGAGATATTTATTTTTGTTATTCATATTTTAAAAGTGACATTCTAGTGGGGGGGAGGGGGGGGTATCACTGAAACAAAAAGTATGTGACAAAGAGTCAGTTGCTGAGGAAATAATTCTGAGGAGGAGAGGAGAAGTTTGTGGTAAAGTTTCCATCTGACTTCGTCTCCGGCTTCACTTGCCAGGCTGTAACCCAGACCGAGGAGCCCGTCTGCCAAACTGGCAACGTGGTGTCTGTGGTGCTCTTCTCTCGGTGGTGATACCGTGGACATTTCTGGGAATATCCAAGTACTGGGTGGTTGGCGGGTGCTCTGAAGTGGTTTGCTCCTTCTTTCTTTTATCAAACATCTATCATCCTGATCTCTCTTCCTTCTTTTTCATTTTTGGTGTTTGTTACTCTCTGGTAACACATCTAATCTTCGGCACTTATATGACCTTATTGTGTTGCAAGTGCTGTAAAACTCTTACTAAAACAAAGAATATCTCCTTACAATATTGTTTTCTCTGAATATCTTAAACTTAAAGGACTTCGGTAATCTTTGCTTGTTATGTATGCCCTCCAAGGTTTTGCAGAGTGACTAGTGCTCAGATTTTACGACAATAAATTGTAGTCATTTATTTTGTTGTCGTTGTTGTGAATAGCAGCTGTGCCATGGATGACATCCTAAAGTCATCAATTACAAGAGAGGGGTCTCAAGATATATAATACCTGAGCCCTCGTTATGTCTGTCCCCGTCGTTTTATGCAAGAAAAATTCTGAAATTATGCAAACTGAGCCCAGAAATGTGAAATTATGCGATTCTGTTAATTTTATCAAAGAATGATAAAGGAAAATAATCAGAAATTATGCAAAAAATGATCAAATTTTGCTAAATTATACGGGGTGCATAAAACCACGGGGACAGTTATGTGGAAGACCTGTTCACAAACACACTAGCATTGTTTGGTTCCGCACCGTGCCCCGTACAGCCAGGGCTGTTGTGTGGAGCTGAAGGACGGGCCTCAGTGACAGTGTGTTTGAGAATACGGGGAATGTCGTCTATTGGGAGATTGTACATACTATGACCAAAGATTCTTCGCTAGTGGAGAATCTTTGCTATGACTATGTCTCAAAGAGATTATATTTAGTACTAGAGCTCGTGCCAGTGATGTCCCCCACACAAAGAGGTTCTATTTAGTACTAGAGTCCGTGGCAGTGATGTCCCTCACGTAAACGAACGAGGGCTGCGTGTGCCCACTCTGGGACGCTGAACCTCATGTACACACATGCGCAGTTCGACAGACGGGTGAGTTCTTCTGGAGACTCATGAGAAGGCACCTCGGCGGTCTTAGGAGGAAGTCTACAAGCTTGCACTGAAATGGTGGTGTTTGATATACTAGATTTTGTGGGGAGCGGGGTGGGGGCTCCAATTGTTTATCATGGATATGGGGGCACGCCGGTCATGCCAATGAGGGAAAGAAGGCCCCTATGTCTGACACTAGTGAGGTCACTGCTGCAAGCTCTAGTACTTTAATAAATGGTCGCTTTTAAGCACAAGGGGGTTATCCCGAAAAATGCTGTTTTGAGAAAATCAAATGTAAAGGTTTTGCATCCTTGTTCAGTTTCTTTAAAAAACAAGGAGAGTTTTCTCTATAACCAAACAAATATATACACACCAATGAAACCAAACTTCTCCTATAGGTAGGGCAATGCCCACTTTTTTGGTTAAGTCAAGATTTCTGGAAACCATTGGAATGTGGGATAGCCCGCTTGTCCTTAAAAGCGACCTTTTAATCTCTTTGGCACGTCCACTGTTTCACTGTTGCTTGTTTCCTTTTCCTGTGCAACTATCTCTAGTCTTCCTCTCCGGCTGTTGTGATCTATGCTGGCCTCCGTCTGGCCGCCCCAGATGTCTGTCGTGGCTGTGTAGTGTTTGTGCTGTCAGGGGGAGTGACTCTAGTGCTGGCTGTGTAGTGTTTGTGCTGTCAGTCAGGGGGAGTGACTCTAGTGCTGGCTGTGTAGTGTTTGTGCTGTCAGGGGGAGTGACTCTAGTGCTGGCTGTGTAGTGTTTGTGCTGTCAGTCAGGGGGTGTGACTCTAGTGCTGGCTGTGTAGTGTTTGTGCTGTCAGGGGGAGTAACTCTAGTGCTGGCTGT